GCAAATTGTTTTAAGCTAGAAATTCATAAAAATTTTCTTTTTAAATCTAAGATTTGAAAATATAATACAAGATTCCTAAAAAAATTGTTAATCTTTATCACAAAAAAAATGTCCACTGGAAATTCAAATTAAATATTTATTACCATTTGAATTTCAAATATTGACAAAAATTCGTCAAAACCATGAATATTTGCAAATTATTTTGTAGTTCAAAACTCATAATATTGTTTGTATTTATACCTAAGGTTATAAAATTTAACATTAAGTTTTCCATAAGTTGTTCTTCAAATAGTTATAGAAAAAATTTGAAGCGTCATTATAGGAAAAATGTTTTGAGCGTTTGAGTTTTAAATTTTTATGAAATTGCGTAATGATAATGATTTATCCTCAAACCAGGTATATGTATATCTATGATAATATAAAGTATTATGAATTTTGATAACTACATGCAATGTTTTTGGAAAAATTGATTAACCATGCCTTATTCAAAATGCGTCCTAAATGAAAAATAATTTATTTGTTTCAAAATAGAATATATGACAATATTTAAATATAATATATCCTAGACTGACAAATCATCTCCGTTCAGAATCGTTTTTTGTATACAATGATACCTATCATTGCATTCAAATTTAATCCCATCCATTACAGTAACCTACTGTACAGCAGAGCGATATCCACGACTTACTTGCTATTATTTTAAAATTTTTTACAATTTTCCACCAATTAATTTATGAGACATAAATCTACAATTGTCTTTTATAAATGAACTAGTTTTTTTTATTATTATTTTGCTAGGCAATTGTCTAACTTAAAAAATGACATAAACACAATTAAATATGTGATTGCAAAACAAAATATTTAAACTATGGTAGATGCTATACCACTGCATGTTTTCTTTTTGTCAGTGATAAAAAAAAATAATTTTTTCAGGTACCGAAATATTAAAATTAATAGTAGAATAATTAATTTTTTTTCTTAATCTCACAAAACACGTTATAAGTTCCTTAACTCATGCAATATTTTCAAATAAGAAAAAAATATATTTTACTAACTCACAATCGAACGACTTGTCTACATCTTTTCTTTCATAAGACAACATAATATACTTATTAGGGATATGTAAAAAAATATATAAATCTGGTTTTTACCCATAATAATTATTTGGATAAGTCTGACCAAATATTTTATTTTTAAATCAAACAATGTTAAATACTTACAAACTGAGGTAAATACTTAATTACATTTTATTTGAAATCAACTAAAATTTCCTAAGAATTTTGAGAAGTTAAATATCTAGATAATCAGTGTTAAAATATTTGGACTTTTTTATAAAAAATAATAATTAAGCTAATAAGATTAATTTAATGTTGAACACTTCCAATTTGATTTTTTTAATGAGGGTCTATCACTTTACTATTGTAGTCCCTTGAAATTAAATACATTTGAAAAAATTACCTGAGTTTCATTTTTGGAGAATAATGGGCAGGTTTAGGTAATGGACTTGCCATGGGTGAAGGATTTGCTTGTAACATATAATGACGATTAATTKATGGTGGTGTATATGGTCCAGGTGTAGCAATTGGATGCTTTTCTACTTGCAAAGCACTAATAACAACAGCTTCTCTATTATGATATCTAAAACAATTGTCATTATATTTAAAAAAAAAATATATATAATTAAAATATTATCTTACTTATTTAATAACGATTGTATGTGGGATTCCGATGCAGTAGGAAACATTGCACTAATTTTTGATATTGATTGATCTATATTAGAACTGCTGAATGGTGACATATTGGGAGTGATTGATACCCGATTTGTAGCACTCGAGCGTGCATAATTGATTGCGTTAGAACCCATACGGGGACTAAATCTAATTGGTGTTGGACTTGACTTTTGTGTAATAATTGAATCCTATGATAAAATATACCCCAATAATTCAGTTATAATGTACAAAAAACACATAATTTTTCATGTGATGATAGTTGCTAGTATATTATGAACTACAAAAATTTAATAATGAAAAATGCTCAATTGAAGTCAAACACAACAATGTATTATGTTTATAACTTATTTAACCATAAAGAATATTAATTTTAAATATGACACACCTTTCTTCTCCAACTCCATCTTCTGCACCTCTCTTATTCTACCTGTACACGTCAGACCAACCCACAACCRACCTCACCATCACTGGTGACTTTGCCGATGATAAAGCATCCTGGCTATCCACCGTGACCCTCTCGGGGCATCCAGCGGAATCCAAACCCACCTCGACATGGTACAAAGATTGGGGGTTCAAACTCAATGAATCCAAATCCATCCACTGCACATTCACTCTCAGATCAATAAGCTGCCCCTCCATCACTCTTAACAACCAACCTCTCCCGACCGCTCAAAATGTCCGTTACCTAGGTCTATACCTCGATCGCCGACTCACTTGGGCTACCCACATACGTAACAAATGACTCATACTAAATAATCGTCAAAGACATCTTTGCCTCCTACTGTCATCCAAACATCTCTCACTACACAATAAAATCCTTATGTATAAAGTACTCCTTAAACCTATCTGGTCCTATGGAATTCAACTCTGGGGATTAGCCAAAGACTCCAATATAAACCGAATCCAAACATTTCAATCTAAATGCCTCAGACAGATAACTGTTTCCCTTTTATGTATCAAATGATACCCTCCACAGGGACCTCCTCATTCCGACAGTAAAAAAACGTTGCCAAAACCCTATATAAACGTTTCCACCTTAAACTTTCAAATCACTGAAACCCTCTCATTCAAAACCTCTCTTCTAGAACAATCCCGGGTGACCCTGGCTGACATTTAAAGCATAGCTGGTGCCGTGACCTACTAGTAGTCGACTAGTTAACTAGTCCACCATCCCGTCATGAATTGCTATTAATGAATAGTTTCTTCACCAAGCCAACCATGATGACCTATATTATATTATATATTTATTGTACTTATTGTATTTTTTTTTTTTTTTATACATATAATATAGATTGTACAAATAAAAACAAATATGACACAATAAAAGAAATTTAATAATAATTAAATAAGTGAATTACCTGATGAATATGATAAAATGGTTGAGGAGAATCACTTTTACATGGAGAATCATGTTGAGTCTGAAATATTTTAAGATAAATAATAGTTAAAAATTGTATTTAAAATAATGTTGTTATAGTTAGCTTTAATTTAGTCAGTGATGAAGAGGTACCATGGGTAAATTATGAAATTTTATGGAGCAGTATCTTGATTGATCTATATGGATGTATCTTGTATTTATAGATGGAAATGTTCTATATACTTGAAGTCTAGGTCCTATATGCTTATTGATGCTTAAAGTAGCAAGTATTCTCGAATAAAATACAAATYAATTGTCTTGTGTAACTGAGGAAARAATTTTTTTAAATTGAAACTAACTTATAAAAATATCATTATTAAATCAGAATTTAGGAGATAAAGGAATCAAATATAGTTAGTTTAGATCCTCATTATAATCATTTAAAAGGATACTTTTTTTTTGTTTCATTAAAAATAATAAATTTACAATTTTACCTACGTTCTTAGTTATGAAATTATAAAATTTGCTAATTAATTTTTTTTTTTAGATAACATACCCACTAATTAAATAAAAGCATTAACAAAAAAGTCGAGTATTATTCTTACTTTAATAGACAAAGGTTTGGTCATTTGATAATGAAGATATTTTGAATGTGAATCTTCAATGCTTGTAAAATAATTAAATAAATTATATCTGAGAAAATAAAAATTATTTATAAGTCAAGTACTTCGATTTTATTGTACTTAGTATAATAAAAATTACGTTTTCGCAGATTTGTAGCCATTCTTGTTGTGCCAAGTAAATGTATTTTTGTTCATATCTTGAACGGGTACATCTACCATAACTTCAATAGTTAAGGGATACTCGTATTAATGTTACTCGTATATCTAAAAAGACTAGTAGACTACAGATCGTTACTTTAGTGTCGTAGGTCAATACATAACAACTAAAGCAATTAATGATATGGATAATTTACTAAATTCATCAACAGTAGATTTACAATTCACTATTCAGATAATTTTTATTTACTTTTCTAATCAAATAAGTGTCTTTATTTCAAGGACGAATTTTGCATAAACAAAATTTTTACGAATACAACACGGCTGCAAACTGAACAAAAATAAACAAAATACTATTTCGGTCAAATTTCGGTTTAGCTTGTGGAAATTTTTGGAATAACATAATGTATTAATAGCTGAATTATTCAAGTAGTACCTTCGTTAACTAGAAACCCAAAATCAATTTAATTTTAATTAAATTTATAAATATTTCACCATTCATTGTTTGCACTGTTTATTAATGCCAGCTGATTTTTGATCTGACCAATGGCAATGCGTACCTTCCCGATGGATGACAAGCCCCCTCTACTCTCCCGACAGCATCTTCACCCCGTCTATAAAGTTTTTTTCCTTTTCACTCCATTTTATTGCATTTTAACGTTGGGTTATTTCATAGCGTCTGGTTACGATTAAAGATTCTTACGTCTAATTAAGCACTAGAACCACTGACACGTCCGCCTACATTTAGTGTTGACGATATAATTCCATAGCCGGGTGGTGAATTTCCACAGATAATCGGCATTGATGGTAATGCATGCGAGGAAACTTCAAAGGATTAGTGATGGGTAAGGCCTATTTACCAAATTACGGGAATAACGTAATTCCAAATTATTATACATCGATAGTAATATTAATGTTTGGATATTTTGATTTCAGGTATTATGACAAGAACCCGTCCCATCAGTATCAGGTAAATATTATTGAGTCTTGTGATAATTTATAGCATTGATAGGTACACAACAATGTCCTTCAAAATATTGGTTCCTACCATATAAATATATTATTTTTTTTAAGTAAAAATCTACCATAATTATAAAACAAATTAATAACATTTTACTATTATTTTCATTGTTGTATAATTCATATAATGATTTTATCTGATATATTAAGGGCCATTCTTACAATGCTCGGTTAGTGCCTGATAACACTAACCGGAAGAATTTATCATGAGTTAACCGATAGAATTCTACCGGTTAGTCTTAACCGACACTTAACCGGACATTGTAAGAACGGCCCTAAACCTATAAGTCTAAAGTAAATATAGTGTATTAAAAACTTTATAATGTCAATACATATCTCAATTCTCAGGTACCTAATTAATACATTGAGAAAGAATAATGTAAATTACAAAAAAATTTAAGGTTCAAGTAAAAAAATACTTATACAGAAAATTATTCTCCTGATTCAACTTGCTATACCAGTTATTTTCYWCAAGAATGTCTACAAAGTTAATATTATAATGTTATTGGTTTTAAGTTTTAAATTTTAGGTTGTGTATGCTTTATTGTAAACACATACAATTAAAAAAAAATTGTTCATCTGGTAACTTAAAATGTTTTCAAAAAATTAATTATATAGTCACCCTTAACTATTTATTAACTATCATGTTTTTATCTAATAATTTTACTTTTTAGCATTTGAAATTAGCTTGTATCTTAAACAAAAACGTAAATCAGTGAACTCTAGACTGCATCTCCTAAGACCTCTATTAAAATCAAAACTAGCAACAAACTAACAATATACAAATCAATAATTTGTCCGGCTTGTCTTTACGGCATCCAACTATGGGGGCCAGCTAAACTATCTAACATTAAAACCTTGCAAGCATTCCAATCCATATGGCTACACCTAATAACCACTGCCCCTTGGTACGTTACCAATAAAGACCTGAACATACCAACCCTCAACSTCTTAGCCAAATCCTACTACTTAACATTTCACTCAAAGCTTTGAGCTCATCCTAATCCCATAATTAAAAGTATATCCTCTACCTCAATTATTCTTAGAAGGCTAAAAAGGCAATGGCCTAGAGATCTGCTCAATGCCTAATAAAAAATAAAAAAAATAACTAAGGAGAAAATTCTAAAAAATTAAAACCCTAATTTCCTGTCAGATGATACTGCTGGAAGCCTTTATTTTCTGTATTTAATGTTATTTTGTCATTACACTTACCTATTGTACCATTGTATAGATTGTAAATTCACTATTTTTAATAATAAAAAAGCATTTGAAATTATAACCCAAATCAAATGAAATTGTAAAATATTAAAAAATTACTCACTAAACAATGTATTAAATATGTCTAACATATAAAAGAAAATTATTCACTCTAGTATTTTAACTTTTAAGCACTTAATTTTTAAGAGTTGCTTATTAGTTAGTAATCTATTAAAATGAACACTTAGTTGAGAATACTTGTCTCATTTTCAAATTTATGATATAAACATAAGTGCAAATCGCAAAGGGGGCCAAATGGGTTTAGTTCCCCACTATAATTAGATATATTATAAATACCATTAAAACTTTGCGTTAAATTTTAAGATACTGGATTTAAGTGGTAGAGGTAGTTACTCGACCTTTAAATAGAATTAATATATATATACTGATTTGGTCAATATTGGTGCTCAGCAGTACAGTAATGTGAGTTTCACAATTTATTGCTCGTTCCATATAWACTTCTACCTCCTGTTCTATACTTAGTGTTAGTTATTAGAGTTTCATTAATAAACCATATAAATTTGTACATATCATTATTTTATTAAGATGCACTTAATTTTTTCAGAATTCTAAATATTTAGTTTCAAAAAATTCTAGCAGTGATCAAAAGTATGGCAGCGGTAGGGGAAATGGTACCTCGTATCCAAGTCCTAGCCGAGGAAGTCCATCGCGAGATCGATCATACTCTAGCAAAAGTTCATATCATTCTCAAAAAAGTCACAGAGATAAGGAGAGAGATTCTCGAGACTATAAATCTAGGAATAGTGATAAATATTCTGGTAAGTGTTTTTAGTTTTTGAGATATAGACAATATTATACATAATTTTTTGGTGAATGATTTAGGATTCCATTACCGTCAAGACTCAGTTATACTAATTCGTCCTTTTGATCAGTAACTTCAGTTAAACTTTAGGTGTAGTTTTCCTGCAGCTGTTAATGTAAGCTTCTGATATAGACTGGATTAAAATTCATATTCTGTGAATCCATGGTGTTTGGCGTGAATTTTTACTTTAAAATGTAATTAAAATAGTTCAGGACAGTTGCAAATTAACTATTATCCTGTTTTTTTTTCTCATTTGGAATTAACTATTAATATTATAAAAGTAACATTTTTGGATCATTAAATTATTTTAATGAACTTTTATTTTTATTTTATCTATGATTATTTAAATTAGCATGGATTAAAATAGGTTTTAAAACTACAATTACGATTTTATCTATTGCAAAACTAAGTTTTAAAATTTATAATCATTTGAAGTTAGAAATTTCCTAGTTTATAAACTATATAAAATAGTAAATACCCTATGCATCTTTTGTATCTATTCAATCACATTATGCTATTATTTAATTTTAATTGTTTTTTGTGCTTGCCATTTTTTTGGCTTAATGCGAGATATCCTTGAGAGAAAATAGTGCCCTGTCTACTTTAACTGTAGGATCTAACCTTTTTACATTTTATAAAAATCTGTGTTATTTAAAAGGTATTATAAATGTTTAAATTTTCAACATCTATGTCTTTTATTGATATTTTATAGAAATTTTATTCAAATTTTAGGGCTGAGATACCTCAGAAAATATGTAATAGTTTAGTAAATACTTAGTATAGTAAAATTTAATAAGTTATTCACTATACATATTTCCTTCAAATCAATATACAGAGTGTCCCGCAAGGATTAACCCATTGCGATATCTCACGAAATAAATAATGGGGATTTCAAAATTCTGATTTTATTATGAGATTCACAGGGATAAGAATTACAATTATTTCATTTTTAAATTAATTTTAATATTTTGTAAACAATTTAAAAAATATATTTTTTTATTTAATTATTTCCAAAAAAATTAATGATAACCATTTTATAGAGTTTATTTTTCTGAAAATATTGACGTTTCAAAATTTTATTTTCATTAATTTCCCGACTTCTAATACTTTTTCTAGTTTTGAAGAAACAAAATATGATTATAAATTTATAACTATTAGGAACACAAAATGTATTCGGCCTGCCGTATGAGAATGCACGCGTCGCGTTGCGCCAAATGTTTGATATTATTATGGTGTTAAATAATTCGCAATTTTTCTCGAAACTTAATAAAATATTATGAATCAGAAAATTTATGAAAATAAAATATGAAACGTCAATATTTTCAGAAAAATAAACTATAAATGGCCATCTTTAATTTTTTTGGAAATAATTAAATATCAAAATATATTTTTTAAATTTTTTACAAAACATTAAAATTAATTTAAAAATGAAATAATTGTAGTTCTTATCCCTGTTAGTCTTATTACAAAACCAGAATTTCGATATCACCATTATTTTGAGAGATATCACAATGGGTAAATCTCACGAGACACCATGTATATATTTATATATATATATAGCATGAAACTAAAAAATGTATTTATTTTCAGATTATAGTAGGTCACCAAAAGATAGACGAAGTAGAGATGAATATAGAACAAACCACGATCGGATTAGTCCGGAAGTAATTTATTATTTTTAATACATATAACATTTTTAATAACAATGATATTTAATTTTATAGAAAATGGTTGTTCATTCTGTGAAGTGGTCAAGTTCTAGGGATTCTAGAGATTCAAGAGAATCTGGTCAACGGAAAGTTGTTCATAGCTCTTGTCAGGTAAATATTATTTTCATAATCTGTAAATACTATATGTAGATTTGTTAATTAAATTTAACAAATTTCATTTGTTTATCAATTTATTTGTGTATATAGTGTATTTAGTTTTATATTTATTTATGTATAGAGTAGCAGCAGTAGTAGTAATAACCGGGAATCCAGGTCTGGCGGAAGTTCAACTGTCACTAAAGTKGGTGATTGGTCTGAACATACAAGTTCTTCAGGCAAAAAATACTATTATAATTGTAAAACCGAAGTATCCCAATGGGATCAGCCACGAGAATGGTTAGAAGCTTATCCAGCATCTCAACCTTCTCGAACACAATACCACCATGGTCTGTAGTCATTTAAAACATAACTAATTATATTAATATTCTATTTAATTTTAATGTAATTTTGTACAGAAAAACATTCCAATAACTCAATTATGAGATCATCATCAATGAGCAATCATGTGAACAAAGTTTCACAACAGTCCTCTCAACAACAAGTTAATTCTACAAGTAGACCAACTCATCATCAAAAAGATCCTTATTGGAATCAAATTCGAAGTAATAATCTTCCAATAAATGTCTCGCAATCTCATCATGTCTCCGAGTGTAATGTAGATAGACTTGAACTAGATGGACCTACGATAATCAATTCCTGTAAGTTAAAAATAAATAATACAGTTATTGATGCTAATAGTATTTTCCTAAATGAACTAGACAACATTATAATAACAATATTGAACAATGTTTCCTACCAAAACCTAATTTCCTTTCTTTTTGTTTTTTATAATGTATTTAAACTAAAAACTTGTTACTATAGATAGTATGTACATTTATTTATCAAGCATTCTTAGTTAATTTTACAATATAATTTATTGAATATATCCTGTTTGAATACTTTATATTACTAGCTTAAAATTAGTTTTTTCATATATTTATTTAAATTTTAAAATGATGGTATTTTATTATATTAATTAGTAAATAATTGTTTTAAAAATGAATAAACTAAGATACTTAATCTGCTGTTATAAGTGTAACTCGTTAGCCATTAGTGGCTACTGGCTGTTACTTATTGCAATAAATATTGTATTATTTTTAATTGAATAACAAATCAAGGCGGTAAACTAACCATACTTGATCCTATATTTTCTTAAATAATGGATTTATTAAAATTAAAGTTTTTAGAATTTTTTATTTACTTACAAACCCATATTTTTAAATTCTAGAGATTTTTTTTTTGACAATTTCCTTAATTAACATTTTTTAGTGTATTTTTATTTTATAATGTTGAATGTTGATGTACTTTTATTAAAATTTGAGCAAATAGCTTATCATCATTTATTAAGAAGACGTTACACACATATTTGTTGTCTTTGTCTTACAAGTGTGTTACATAGCAAATTTACGCTTAGCAGATCACGTCTATCTCTATTAGTTAACAAATTAGAGTAAATTGACCTATTATGAAACTTGATGGTAAAAACATTATCTGTGTTTCAATTTAGTATCAGTTAGATCAATTTTGTAGCAAATTATGTGTGTATAAATAAGCATAAATTAAAAATGCTCATAATTCACTTAAATCTAAGTTGTTGGAATAAACCTACATACAAACACAGATAATTTTCTTACCATTAAGTTTCATAATATGTCGATTTACTTTAATTTGTAAACTAATGGAGCTAAACGTGATCTGCTAAGCATAAATGTGTTATGTTACACACTTGTAAAACAGAAACAGCAAATAAGTGTGTAGCAGCGTCCTCTTAAAATGATTTTATTAAAGATTATCTTTAAAAATGATTTTACACATAATATATAATATAGATATTGTTTCGGATCAAGTTCTTACTATGATAATTTCTAAAATTATTAATGCTAATGAATTAATATTAATTACTTATTACTACATTTTTATTAAAATAACCATAGAGCTTATATCTCTCAAAGTAATTATATGTTATAAAATCATAAATTAACTTGATAACTACCTGTTAAAATTTTGATTCCAATATGTCAAAATTTTCCGATAAATTATTCAGATAAAAAAGGGTACCTATTAATAAAATTAAGTGTAATGCAATAGAATACTTCTTAAGTAATATAACAATTAAGAAATATAGTTTTTAATTATATTCAAAAATTCGAAAACTAAGATTTTGAATAATTTTATTGAAGAAAAAGGGTATGAGCATTGTTGGTAAATCACTCTAGGTACCACACGTTTTCAAGCTATGTTGATTGCAAACCATAATCTACTTTAAAGATAAATGTTTAGGTATATTATTCACATATTTATTTGTACGTATTTATTTACTTTTTACTTTTTTACCTATGTTTAAATACTGTTAATAATTATAAAAATATACTTTCTAAACTATTAATTAAAATCAGTCTAAATTAGCAGTCAAACATAACATCTCCATCATATAAATAGGTATAATAAATTCATTATGATATTAATTAGGCGATTCTTCTCAAACCCAAGATATGGAATTATGTAGTGGCGACAGCACTCCTACTTCAGAAAAATCCATTCAACTATCAAATGTACCTGCACAAAGGCACAGTTCTTCTACTCCTCAATCACAAGTATTTGTTCTCCGTATACATTTTTTAATAAATAATTTGAAATTAATTTATCCTAATTGAATTTATTAAAATTAAGATAAAGGGAACTGAAGTTAACAGTGAACTATGTGAAAGAACAAATGTTGATGTTGGATCAACAACACCACCATTATCAAATGTAACTCAGAACTTAGTTGATTCATCGACAACCAATAATGTWACTGAGCGAAGTCCACCCACTCCAGCAAACACAGAAACTAATAACACCCAAGAAGTTAAAGGTAATCATTTAATTTGATAACTTATCCATCTCTCATTTCATTTTTAATAGTAATATTAATTAAATTAACATATTCTAAATAATCCAATTTTATATTTTCTAGTCTTAAAAATGTAATATTTTTTAAGCTGAAAGAAAACCCAAAATAAATTTCCTCTAACCTATATATTATTTGTTATTCTTATTACTACTAATTTCAAAAATATTTCTGGATTCAACCCTTTTATATATCTATACTAATAACAAAACAAACCCATCACTCCTGGCCCCAGTCACTTCATTTATGAGATCAAAATACAATACTAGAGCAGAATATAAAACACCAATTATTTGTTATTTTTTTACCATATTATTACTTATTTATTTTATTTTTATCACTTATATTTATTGACATTGTTTGTTTTTGACCAAACAATTAAAAGATTTAATTGTTAATATTACTCTTATTGTTACTCTTTCTAACATTTAATTATATTACAAATAATTTTAAAAAATTTTGTATAATGTTAAAATATAGTGTTCTTAGAATAGTTTTTTTTAAAACAAAGAAACTAAAGTGTTCCCCTGTATTAGAATTAAATTAATATAATTCATAATAACAGGAAGTCCTGTAACAAGCCATGCGGAAACGGTTGTCCAAGTCAACAATGTAATGAGTTACAGACAACTTGGAACAACAACATCTCCCGTCATGTCTAATTTTGTACGTGATGATTTAACATCACACGTTAAATCCTGGCCAGCTGATATTTTAGCAAAACAGGTAACAATATTAAAAGCATAAATTTATTTTAAAAATTAATTCATTGCTTTAATAGATGAGTATTTCATTTCAGGCACAAAAATTGAATGAAGAGGCCCATATATTAGGAAGTGTACACTGTTCACGAGTATCTGCAGAACTCAAATATGCAAGATCTATTGTCCGTTTGACTGAAGTGCAAGCATCCTTATTAGAACACAAGTAAGTATTTAAATATAAAAAACCCTACATTTAACTAATAGTTATTCAATTTTGTTTCCAGGGTGTTATTTTTACAGCAACAAATTAAAACTTTAGAAAAATTAAAATCTGAAAATTCGTTTATGGGTGAAGGAGATGAAGGAAGGACGACTTAAATATACTATGGCAAGTGTTTTTGTTATTTAAATAGTTGTCAATTTTACCACAAGTGACCGCAAACTTTTTTTGTTATGTTGATTTTTTACAAACTTTTTATAACTTTGTTTCTGGGTCTCAAGACCAAAACTATGTTCCAATTGTTAGGTATTTGGTAATTTTTATTTATGGTTTTGAAGTTATTTTTTTAATCATAGCTGTCGACTTTTTATATTAATTTAAATACAGGTACTTCCTAAGTACTAATATTGTAGTCTAATTTGTTCTTTCATAAAGTACTACACCCTTCATATATCTAATTTCTTGAAGTATTTTAAAATAAATATATCCCCATGAAAATCTTAATGTTATTAAAACAATTACCTATACTTCTCAATACAAACACTTCATGTATCTGTTGATGCGCATAATCAGATATAAATTTWAAAAAAATATTTTGAATAATTCATCCTCATTTTCTCTGTCAAATCTGGTATTTTAGTGATGATATTAAAATTAAAGTTTTAGCATAATATAAAAAGTAAATTTTGTTTCGATAAATAAACAAATAAAATTTTAAAATTTATTGATATATAATACTATCATTTAAATCATAAAAATATTAATAACAAAATATTTTTTTACAAGCATTTCGGTTTACGTTTCGATTAATATTAGTACTACAATTTTAACCCTGGGATAATTATTTTAGAAGTGATGTTTGATTCTTCATCTTTCAGGCTTGTATTCTATAAATATAATATTATCTACCTCAACATTTTCAATTCAACTATTAACAATGTATTGTTTTTTTTTTTTTTTTTTTTTTTTTTTTAATAGTTAAAGCAAAATATTAAAAATTATTTTTTGTTTCATTAAGATTAAATATCGGAACATGATGAAACAATCTAGTTCATTTTTGTAAAGTATTGCATAAAGTTTCTTATATCATATTTTTGTAATATAGTTATTAATTATGCCATAATTTTCTATACATAAATTTATTTTTCTTCTAAGTATTATATTTAATTTTTTTAATTGGTGAATTAAAGTCTGTGTTGCTTAGAAAACTAATTATTTAAGGTTTAATAATCTGCAAATTATTTTAGTTAAACTTTGTTTTTATTATTATTAATTTATTTTTAGTAATTTGAATTAACGGGCTTAATTTAAATGAACTACACAAACTATTTTTCCTTGGTCAATTATATTCCATTTGTAAAAATTTGCTTAAATTATTTGTGGTTTTAAAAATGATTGCATTGTAATTATATATTATATATTTTTTTCAATATAAATTTTGTTACTAACCACTCCCTATTTTAGATTTTAGGACCCAACTACTAATGCAGTTTTCTATCAGATCTCAGCGTTATTATTATTAATTCTACATTAAAATAAAAATGAAGATGAGCAATTTTGTAATAATTAATCTAGAACTTAAGACTGATAGATATTGACAATGAAAATTAAATTAAATTTGTTGCCTTCAATTCTTAACTAAAAACAATTAGACAAATATTTATTATTATAGATCAATTTTACCAAACTTTAATTTTGGAAATAATTAAACATTGTTCTCTGTATCGAGTTATAATACAATTATTATACTAATGTTATGTAAAACTACTATTAAGACCCAGTATAGATTTAAATTATTTTTTATTAAGTATTGCATTTTTATTTTGACCTTTTGACGTTCAGAGTTATTTGGATATTTTTACAATGTAAGGGTGCATCCTCTCTATTCATTCAATATCCTAAATATTATGATTAATATTTAATAATAAGTACAATAATAGACACCAATTTAAACCAAATAAATAACAGGTATTTTCTTATTACAATAAAGTCTGACTTATTTAATTGAAACAAGATAGTAAAGGTAGTATGCTATCATAACTTATTAAAATAAAGCAATAGTATTTATTTCTGTTATATAAAAATATATCTGTTATTTATTTTAATTATAGTTGTATAACTATCTCAASAAACGCAAGATATACTAAAATACATTATTTGAGTAATTATCATCCTAATTGTTAAACTTGAAAGTTAAGTAGTCGTGTCAATGTAGAAGGTACTATATTATTCAAACATTTATCAACTTTAAAATTAAAATTTGCAGATATTACATTAAGGAATTTGTATTTAACTTTGGCACTGCTGAAATTAACTTTCATTGAAATAATATAAGATAAATAATGAACGTCTGACAGGTCCAGTATTTTGTCACATTATATATTTTAATTAAATAAGGAAAGTAATTATGTAGAAAAAATATGTGTATAGATATTAACTACTTATGGTTTTAGTTGATTTATAATAATTACTCACTTACAATATTGTTTTAAACTAACTAATTTATCAACATTTACAGTTTTTATTTAAAAACTTAATTTGTGTTAATCTATCTATACACTATTTTTTTGAGCACAAGATCTGCTTATTTCTTACGTAATTTGTGGACCAGATTAATCCAAAAATTATCTCTATAATGTTCAAAGTTCTGACTTATAAATCATGTCCAGAATGATAATAATTATGTATACTTACCTAAAATGTATGTATTAAATGTATTTTTCCTTTTGTACATTTAATTTCTCAAACTTTTCCTATTGTACATATTTTTTTAATAATATAATAATTTAGTTTGTTATTTATTTAACAATAATTTACAATTGTTATTATTCATATTTTTCAAATTTAAAACTGAGAGTGGGTAGTAGGGTTAACTTTGTGATACCAATATACCAATTCTAAAGTAAAATGCTTATATAACATTAAAAATAAAATATCATTCTTGTTTCATATTAAAAAAGAAATTATATTTTACATTTTTTTAATCATAAAACAGTGTCAGTATTATGTTAGTTTTATACCTATCTCACTAATAAAATATTGATACAAAAATGGTATTCAAGAGTGTGTGGTTTATAATATATATGGGACAGGTTGCATCAACRTCCTATAAAGACTTCCCAAAACTGTTATCTACTTACAATAATAATAAATAATAATATTTATTAATATTAAAAACAACAATAATAATAGTAATAACATTATACAATTTAATATAAAAAATCTTGTTTTTGATTCTCTCTTTAAAAGCTAGGCTTGTTCTAAAGAGAGACAGTTCAATACAATAAAATGAAGAACTGACAGATAAAATAGTTAAATTAAGATATAAATCCAGTAATAAGAGAACAAAAGTAAAAATATAAAATAAACAAATTAAATCAATAAATTAAACAATTTATATAGGGAGATTAACAAATTTGTTGTTGTGAACACTATATTCTGCAGAAGACAATATTATATTAAATGAAAATAATTTACATGCATTTTAAACTGTTTAAATGAATTAAACTTATTTACATAATTTAATACCAATATTAATGGGGCTATGTTAATCAAATGTAATACCACATAAAACAGATCTAATATTAGAATTATTTTTAGACCTAATATTATAATAATGATTAAATTTTATAAATTTAAAATTATGGCTGTACATATAATATAAAATATTTTTCATGTAAATAGAATTAAGATTATCTATAGTAATAATTTAATATTTAAATGCGTTTTGCAACACTAGYATAATTTATCCATAGGTCTTATAATCAATGATAGAACACAACATTACATTTTATCAGTGATCAAATAATTCTAACAAGCTAAATAAGTATTCCTATATTGCTATAAATTTTGTTTGGAAGTCATTGTGACTATGATAATTTGAAAAATGGTCCAAGTATAATAAATACTATATTCAATATGACATCTATTTTATATATTTATAAATCAATGTTTAAGGACATTATATCCTTAATATAACATTTTAAAAACCGAAAAATTACCAATTCAAATTTTGAAAGTGGTGCATCGTCAATTTAAAAAAGGAGGGTAAGTCGTGGATGTCGCTCTGCTGTACAATAGGTTACAAATGGGTTACTGTAATGGATGGAATTAAATTTGAATCCAATGATATTATATCATTGTATACGAAAAACGATTCTGAGCTAAGACGGTTTATCTGTCTAGGATATATTATAGATTATTAAAAATTTTCAAATCTTGATTTAAAAAGAAGATTTTTTATGAATTTCTATCATAAAATAATTTATGAATTTTCGTGATTTTTAC